TTCGCATCGCCACGTATCTTTCGCAACATATTCACACTGTCAAAGCAGAGTCACGTATGTAAGTTGGACATAAAAGATTGAATATAACAAGTATGGAAAACAATAATGTCAAGAAAGTAAAAGCATACACGGTGATTAGCAGGGATCCAACTAGGAAGCTCACTGAGTCAGTGAGGATCTTATTGACGAGATGGAGAAATTTAGGTTTTATAGATTCGATTATGTACAAAAAACTTTATTGCAGTGATGGGGTACTTCCTAGAGCTTATGGACTCTCAAAGATTCACAAAGAAGGTTGCCCGTTGAGAATGATAATTGCATCAATTGATAGTCCTTTATATGCATTAGCTTCGTTTTTGCACAGTATTATTAAGGATAATGTTCCGAAACCGCGTAGTCACATAATAGTTTCAAATTAGTGGAAAAATTAAATGGTCGTTCTTTAAATAATAAATATTCATTAATGTCACTTGATGTAGTATCACGTTTCACGAACATTCCGCTGGATTTGGTAATGAAAAGTATGTCAGATAGATGACATTTTATTTCACAGTCTTGCAGTATAACAAAAGACGAATTTATCAGGGCTTTGCGGTTAGTACTAGAGTTTACGTTTTTTACCTTTGACAATAAAATTTATATTCAGAAATTTGGAACTCCCATGGGATCACCGTTGTCCCCCATCATTGCAGATTTTTTATGGACTTAGAGAACGAAGCTCTGAGGAAGTTTGGAACTGAGCTACCGTTTTACTACAAATATGTCGACGACATCGCGACTGCGGTCCCCAACCACTTGGTTGATGAATTTTTGAAGACATTTAATTCGTTACATCCAAGATTACAGTTCACGTTAGAAGTTGGGGGTAACTGTTTAAATTTCTTGGATGTGACTATAATTAACGCGAACGAAAAATTGGAATTCAATTTGTATCACAAACCGACATTCTGGGGTGATCCCAATTGATCACGGCTCGATTGGACACCACCAATCACAGCGACCGGTGCTTAGGAGCTTTGTAGTCTCAAGCGCTGTGAGTGGCTCGTGTCTAATTGAGCCGTGTCCAACTGAGTGCCAGCCGGTGGATAAGGTCTTTTTAATTTCTCATCCGAAATATCATATTAATAACTTCAATTTTATTATTAAGACGTTTTTGGATAATGATTACCAGATTAAATTTATCTTTGACACTATCAATTTAAGATTAAGATCTCTTTTAAAATGCAAGACGTTAAAACAAGCAGATAAATCTGACAATAATGGGATTGAAGAAAGGATAATCTCTTATTTACTATACCTTTTTTACCGGATATTTATGATAAATTTAAGAACATTACTAAGAATCTCAATATTAGATTGTCTTTCTTCAGTTTAAATAAACTTGACGGAATTATCAAAGCTCAGAAAGATGTTTTACCACACGATTCTAGAAAGAATATAGTATACAAAATTAATTGTAAAAATTGTAATGCTTCTTATGTTGGACAGACGGGTCGTAAGTTAAAGACCAGAATTAATGAACGCAGGAATGATATTAATAAAAAAAGTAGTAATTTATCTGTTATTTCAGAACATAGATTAGAGTTTGATCATGATTTCGACTGGAATAATACAAAAATTTTAGGTAATGAGAGATTTTATGGTAAAAGGTTGGTGTCAGAAATGCTCAATATTAAAATGCAAGAAATTGAATTAAATTTGAAATTAGACACGGAATTCTTACACCATGCTTATACGAACATAATAAATAAATTTTAACTCGATTTTAGGATCACTTGACTACACTTAATTTTTCTATCTATTTATTTTCGTTATTCGATGACTTTTACTTTCTTGACATTATTGTTTTCCGTACTTGTTATATTCAGTCTTTTATGTCCAATTTACATACGTGACTCTGCTTTGACAGTGTGAATATGTTGCGAAAGATACGTGGCGATGCGAAATTCTTTTTGTCGATTTTGTGTTAAGTTATTATTGTGCAGTTATGGAGGGCAGTAGGTGAGCCTTCAGAATTAATTGGTTGTTTTTTCTTGTTCTCTTTTTGGTAACTGTCCTTTTGATATATTTGATATGACTTTTTATTTAGCTCGCACTTAGTCGAACAGCTAAATGACGGTTGCATACTTCCAATTTGGTAGTGTGGAGGACTCACTGACTGCACTGCATTACTTTATTGGCTACTACTTGAAATGTACTAAGGAAGTGGTATCATACTAGACTACTAAGATGTCTGGAAGTATTAATCAAGATATTTTATTATACTATACTGCTGAAGATGGCTTGAATTAAACCGAAACATTCGGCATTTTTGATATATGTATATATGTAGTACTGAGAAATATATGTTTATATAATCGCTCTAATTACTGCGAGTTTAGGTTCTTAATTGCCCGTATTTTCTTCTATCGTTTAAGTTTTATTTCAAGAGCCCGATTTTTATTTTTTTTTTAATATTGTTTAAACACTAGAAAAAATTTGATAATATTAATCAAGCCTAAATAATAGTTATTAAAACTTTGATAAAATAATTTTAATCCACGTTCGGTTAATATAATCAAAATCAACTAAACGCTAATTTATAAATATTGTCTTTTCTAATTATAACCAAACAGTTAGTTATTGTTATGTTTACTAAATATTTACTAGTAATTTATTAATATTTACTAAATATTGCACCAATACAAAATACCTTTGTAGCTATTACCAATCGTTTTCCAATGTTTCTTATAATTGCTTTATCTGACAATCTTGTGTTTCGCGGGTTTTCTCCGTGTTCAAATCCATTCTTGGAATGCCAACGAAAACCGGCCGGCTTCCTCTCTCCCCCTCTACTCACAATTTTCTTCTCCCCCCCCCCCCCCCCCCAACCAGCAGCGTAATATAAAGGGAACGACCCGGGAGAACAGCTTAGTATCAGGCTGCTCCTCGCCCTGATGAGGTGGACTGCAAGGTTCACGAAACGTTGGCATTCCAAGAATGGATTTGAACACGGAGAAAACCCGCGAAACACAAGATTGTCATATAGGAAACACCCGTGAAAGCCTCAAGAATATTAATTGCTTTATCTAATAGTAGAAGAGAGTAGGCATGAAAGAGCCATTTTTTTTCAAAATATTAAAAAAAAATTTAGTATGGTGTTAAACAAATATAATCGCTTTCTTACTTAAATGTATCCTCATTTATCTACAAGATCCATTTAACAGAAAAATAATATTTAGTCATTAACAGAGATTTAATCACCATTTTTCATAAACAAAAAATTCAGCTCTTTTAAAACAACGTGGTTTTGAAAGTCATTACCTGTTTTGTAAGAGCCACATACTGTATAAGCTTTAATACAAACAAATCAAAATGTCATTCCTTAATAAATATTATTTTTTTAGAAAATTAATAAATGAATGAAAAATAGAAAATATAATATTTCTAATTAAAAATATTTATTGCAAAAGAAATAAAAATTTCCCTTAGCCACATGAAGGATGAGCCCAGTCAAAGTACAATTTGCATTGATACCAGTCTTCATTAAGCAATACGATATATTTCAAAAAAAGTATTAACATACTAAAATTGCCTGAATTGTACTAAAAAAGTAGAAAGTCAATTGTACCGAAAAGAACATCTCTAGGTATGCAATGAAGGAGCCAGGCAAAGCAATAATAGAACTGGCTTTTTCATAGCTCTCAACACGGGCTCTTTCATAATATTATGTGTAAAAAATCTAACCACAGAATATCTGATAAATCAAAATAAACAAAGAATTTGTAATTACATTTTTAGTTACGTTAATGTATATAGTATTCGATAAAAAAAATACTTTTTTCTAAAAGCTAATCGCAAATAAATGAAAAAGATTTGGAAATTTAACTCAGAAAACGTACTTTGTATAAGCATATTCAGGCCTATGACGGTCAAAGCTAGATATTTTTTGCCTAAATAATTCCCAGTGAATTATCTATATCCTATATATGTACATGCATATATATCATATTTTTGTAGTTATTCAAACTGCGCGCCGAAATTTTTCCGGACTTTATCTAACGCAATTAAACTACTGCAATTATATCACAAGTTAAATTAAATTGACAATGTGCTGAAAACTTTAAATAAATTTATTGCAAAAAATATTACCTCAGCCGGGACTTGAACCCGGATCTCTTGTATTCCGTACGAGCGTCCTAAGCCATTAGACCACCGAGGCCTTAGTAATATTCTTCGCAATAATCAATATATGTAAGAACAATAACGCTTCTTGCAGATATCGTGTATAACCAATACTAAGATTTTATTCGGATCGACAAGTTAGATAAAGTCCGGAAAAATTTCGGCGCGCAGTTTGAATAATTACAAAAATATGATATATATGCATGTACATATATAGGATATAGATAATTCACTGGGAATTATTTAGGCAAAAAAGATCTAGCTTTGACCGTCATAAGCTTGAATATATTGTGTTTAATTCTTATCGGTCCGAATAAAATCTTAGTAACGTACTTTGTGTAACGATAATTTTGCATCTCTCATTATACGGCAACGCCGTTTTAACGATAATTGTCAAATGTTTATGGACGACGTACTTTTAGTACCGTTATCAAGTGAAAATATTTTTAAATTTTTGGCGATATTCAATTAGTTGAAATACGAAATGGCTCTTTCAAAACATGTTTCTTTCATCCCCTACCTATCGTTTTAGATACGTTTCTAATGATTCACATTTGCATCATAGTATTTTCGAGATTTTGAAATATTTTTCGAGTTCGCATCAAATCTTAAACTCGACCAAAACTGTCGAAATAAATTATTCTCTAAGAAACTTTCAAACAACAAGCGGTGAAGAGATTGCTCAGAAGAGAAACTGCACAATTGCAGAAACGCAAATGATTGATTCTCCGGTGATTCTAAAGCTGTCACGGACTGCAGAATGTAGACGAACGATAACGGTATTTTATATTAAGGATAACAGAGACAAAGGCAATAATTGATAATTGTCATCTTACCTCCCCTCCGAAGCTAGTCCAGTCACCGAGACCACTCCTCAATCCGGCCAACCTCGACCTTCTCCCGTAATACTGACTCGCGTATCCAGGATCCCTTTGTGCCGCCTCTTGCGCTGCTGCCAACCTGGAAACGATAGAGGGATAAAAGAGGTCAGTGGCTGGTTGCACATCAGAGCAATCTCTCGATCAGGATTATTCGCGTGATACGTCAAATAACGATAACATAAACCACATACCACGATTTCTACAAACGAAACAATCACCTGCAGATCAATTCTACCTCAACTGAACAATATTTAACGATGCTTTAGTCTTAGGTAAATAAAAACGCGATCTGAAATTTATCAGTAAACTAGCTATGATTTATAAATAAATTGTTAAATTCGAAATAGATCAAACTTATCTACATTTGTATAATTTCCGCTAATTATTATAGTTTTAAAATATTTAATAATCTGACGAGCTCACTAAAGTATAATAATTACAAGATGTTTAACTTGGTATAAGAGTTAGCAGATAATAAGTAAAAGATTGTCAGTAAATGGTATGTGACATAATAATGCTTTAATAATAATTAAATAATTAAATCAATACTTTGACTATAGAAAATTCTTAAAAGAAATAAAGACAACGCTTTATCATCTCTTTAAGGGCCAAAAATTGTATTCTTGAAAGATGTACTTAATATTTCCTCTTAACAGATATAAGAATATTTCCTCTTAAATTAATAATATATTCTCGATTTGCGAAAGCGATCGTCGCCATTATACGTGTGCTACACGCGCGCTTCACACGGTGAATTTGATGACGTCCCTCTTAAAACCATGCAACTTTTGTCTGAAGTATTTTTCTCTAAAATGTATTGTTCAAGAGATATTTGAGATCATCGTTTAAAATAGGACATCCTGTACATTCTCATATTAAGAATATACTAATATAATATACTAATTTTAAAGAATATACTAATATAATATACTAATTTTTATATAATTATCCTCTTAAATTAAGAGGATCGTCTCAACGCTTATTTTAGAGGAAAACATATACTATACGTAAGTGGGATATTCTTAAATTAAGAATACAATTTTTTATGACGCTGAAGCTAGCCCCCTATTCTGGCCACCTATTCGCTCGCGCGCGGCGAAACCCAGGAACGAATCGCGCTCGGGGCCCCGCTTTCAGATATCGAAAAACAAATGAATAAAAATCACGGAAATCAATAAAATATTACGTCAAATGCTCGGTCAAATGTAATTTCAAACGCAGGAAAGACGAAGATAGACAATAATTATCACAGAATTGCTGTAAATATATTACTAAATAATATCCAATTCATGAAATCTATGCACACGACGGATTAATTTGTTGAAATAATTGTTAAACTCGAGAGAGGGCCGTTTCGCTACGTCTTCGTCTGTAAAAAATTACAAAAAGGGACAGCTAGGTATAGAAAATTACTAAAGCATATTATATTCATCCCCGAAGAGACTACTATTCATTTAATTGCGGCACACGACCGATTAATTCCCTAAAAAAATTGTTGAACACGACAGACTGCAGATTTTCGTTACTTCATCGCCTGTAACAAATTATAGCAAGGGGTGGCAAGGTTTAGAAAATTACTAAA